ATATAATTAGAAACATTATTTCGGATTAGAGGTAAAATAATTTGTATGTGGCTAGTAAAATCCTGGTTAACAAATGTTTTGAGCTAAAACAGTCACTTCACGACAAATTGTGGCTTGGATCCTTTTTACACCAAGGGCTTCAATTGTTAAAGAATTGTGTCACGCTCGTGGATGCAAATCAAGTGGTACCCCGTGTCTCTGGCAAGTGTTACTCTTCGCGCAAAGGGTTTATACCTAGATAAACGAATGCTTCGACTGAGGTCTGGGAACTTTATGGTATTTTGGAATTATAAAGAATTTGTGTTTTTATTTTAACAAAATTGGTTATATTTAGATGTATTCTTATTAATTGAAATACAGATTTGTAATATAATACTTTGACAGTTTTTAATAATATAATATATTCAATTTTTATCTGACCATACCGAAGTAGGGAATTTTGAAACTTATAGTAATGTGAAATTTGAATTACAATATTACACGATATTACATAATTAGTACTTATTTTAGGTAAGTACTAAATTTGTACTTGGAGAAAGTAATATCGATTTTTACAAGAAAACTTGAAAAGTAAATTAATTTAGTTCCTATTTCTGATGTAAAACTTAAGTTTTGGTTTAAACCAAGAAAACAAATAAATTATAGTTTGTTCAACAAGGGTGGATATGATAGAAATATCACACAAAGACGAAGTTTGAGCACGACGTCGTAGGCGGAGTACTCAATCGTCTGATTGTGATATGAACAATCCACTCGATATGGTCAGTATATTTTTTCTACGACCCACTAACGAAAATCTACAAATTTAAAAAATTATTTTAGGTTATTTAGACAAAATAACTAATTTTAAAATAATTTACGAAGTTGACTAATTTATAAAATAAAATAAACATGAAAAATTAATTAGTCCTCGGCCTAGATTCGATCCCGGGCTTTTCGCGTGGAAGGCAGATGCTCTATCCTCATCTTCACCGAAACTTTCAGGACTTTAGTTTTAATACTCGTAATTAAATTAGTATCATGTAGTTTAATTAAAATTTATTTTTTTTAAATGTGGACACAATAAAAACAAAAATGCTATTATTTATCGAGTCTACACAAAAATTTTAATGTATATTTAATATCAATAACTAAAATATATATTGACAATTAGTTTAACAGAATTGTCACTTATTTAAAAAATTTTAAATAATAGGAGTTGGGTGACCAAAATATGAACTGTGATTTGTAGATTTAATTTTGTTAAAGTGTTCTCACTACCTAAAATGGATATGAAATATATTCGTAGTTGAACGCAATAACATACTTTTTCGTTTTGTAGTATGTGCGTAGATTGGCTAATATCCATGCACAGATTACAAAACGAAAAAGTATGCTATTGCCTTCAATTGAACGAATATATTTCATATCCATTCTAGGCAGTGAGAACACTGCAAAAAAAAAATAAATTCGCCAATCACCGTTCATATTTTGATCAACCGACTGCTATTATTTTTAAAATTTTAAATAAATGACAATTCTATCAAACTAATTGTCAGTATATTTTTTAGTTATTGAGATTAAACATACAATAAAATAAGTTATTCTTTTGGAAAACGTTAGCATGGATGACTAAAGGGTATTGGGTTAATTAATTCTAAAAGTGTGGTACAAATGTTATTTTTTGTAGCCAATTCTTCAAAATTATTTTGAAATATCTTTTCAATATTGAATATTAGTTCTACAAATTCATCATTTGACAGTTACAGATTTCCAAATGTATCTGGATTGGCGTTATCATATGCCTTTAAAAAGCAATGAAAAGAAAAATCATCTAATTCGACGTGATCTTCGTTATATTTAAGACATGTATCGCAGAGGAGTGGATCCGCAAGGCTTTTATTAAAAGGTAACCACACACATACCTGAAAAAATTTTTCTGTATCAATTCGTCTTTACAATAATTTAGGGTGTTAATAATTTTATCATAAAATACAAGGTGTTCCATTTAAAAAACATACATTTTAATTTGCCAGGCAAAAACGTGACACTCTGTATATCCAAAGATATTTTTAAAATATGTAGGTATTTTTCAAATCCATATAACTTTTATTTAAAACTTTCTTGCGTGTCTACAACAAAATAATGAACAATAACGCACTAATGGGATACCCTGTATAAATTATATTTTTAACAATGAAAATTTCTTATAATGTGGTACTTATCGGTTTGGGTCCTTGGGAAAACTAAAGAATGTTTTCTTGCAGGTATAACCCTTATTAAAACAGCTTTTGACTGCACAAACAGAATGATGTCTTTTTTTTTCACTCATTCTACTCACAGCTAAAGAGTCACCAAAATAATAACAGTACCTTTAACTCAAACAAAATCAACGAAATTATAGGCTCCGAAATTATGCAATCAACGAAATTATAGGCTCCACGAAATTATACAATCAACGAAATTATACGCACGACTCAACATCTTACCTAAATACGCTTCTGAACGCCAAAACCGTCTTTTCCCTTCGAAGGCGGAGCTTAAGCGATGTGCGACGAAATCGAAGCAAACCGTTGCCGCCAAGAGAGTGTTTTAGCTGTATTGTATAAGCTGTGGTAATATATTCAGGCTGGAATGAAGCTTGCATACCAATAAAGTTATTATTCAGTTCTTGAATAAGTATTCTGGCATACTAAACCCATATCTTCGTCTGCGTTCAGCTACGTAATCATGTGATATATTTACTGTTGGTTAAACCCGAGGTGAAATCGGAAATTCAATTTTTAACCGTTAAACATTATTTTTTGAATACCTAAACAATTTTAAATTGTCTAAATTAAGCAGATTTTACTCTATTTTATAGTTTAGGAAACATAAATAAGAATTTTAAAATTTGGCAAATGTCAAATAATCAATTTTATTAAATGAATTAATGGAAATGATATTACTATAAAGTATAAAATGTTTAATAAACACTTTTAATTTATTACCTACTCCAAATTTATTATGTCCTTTTCATACAAAATAATTCAAAAAAATAATCTTTTCAAATACCACTCGTCCTTTTTAAATTGTATCTAATAAATTTTGAGTTTCCATACTCAAACGATTTTATTTCAGGCAAAACCACTCAAACAAATCAATTTAAGACTAAATCGGTTTATTTTCGTGGTTTTTCGTGGAAACTAAAAATGTAATCCATAAAATTTAGAGAACTCGTGGTATTACCCAGACTATTTCAATTTTTTATTGATATGCTTATCAAATTTAAGGTCTCTACGCATATAATTTAAAGAAGATTCTACAATTTCTTAAAATATTGTAGATGTCTTATTAAATATTAACTTTATTAACTTATTTGGTTGTTAATTTATCAATGTAACATGGAATCTTTCGTTTTTCGAGTAATTAAAGTGTACATTTTAATAAATAGCTCTAAATTGTACATAATGATTAAAAAAAATTTCGGATTCGAGTTTTTTTCGTTTCTTTGCATTTTCTGAGAACATTTACCATAGTAATGTATATATTTTTTTTTCACCATCCGAAAGTAGAGATTTCAATGAACAAAAATCCCACCGACTTTTTAAAAAAAACAGATATTTTGACATGAGAATTTTCGATTGATAATAAGGTGCTTTTTCGATATTATGTCAAAATAAGGTGAAAAAATAAATATTTTAAATCAAAAAATTACAGTGTGTTTGGGACATAAAAAGGTAAGTTTTCACTAAATCTCGTAAAAAAAAAGATAAAAATAAAAAAACAAAAAGTTGGTTATTTGAATTTTTCACATAAATTTTGAGGTTATGTGAAAAAAGTTGTAGATCTTTTTATCACCTAACACTTTGCTATTTAACTTTTTTCCATAGGACTTTTTTTCGGAATTCGAGATAAACCGTTTTTTTATCCTTAAAAACTCACACCCATCCATTTCCCGACCTCAGATCGCCCGTGAATTATTTTTCCTTTCATTTTTGTTATATTATCTTCCTTTTTCAATGGGTTTCATACTACTATTATTTTTTTACTTTTTACCATTTTAAAAGGCTTCAGCCTTGGTCTATCAATAATTAAGCGAGACTCACAATAATAATTGATTTTATCCATTTCAGATCTTATGACCAACTTTTTATCTGGTGTACCTGGAGATATCTGGGGTACCTAATTCAAAGCATATTTATTTGATACAAACTCAATTACAGAGATATCTTAATTTTATTTTTAACCGACTTCAAAAAAGGAGGAGGTTCTCAAATCATCGCAATATTTTTTTTATGTATGTTCAGCGATAATTCTTTAACACGGTGTCTGATTTCAATGATTCTTTTTATGTTAGAAAGGGGGTACTTCAGGGGCAGTCCCCTATAAATTTGGTCAAAATCTAATATTAGGTCCATGAGAAAATCCTCGAATTCTTCATTTTTTATGTATGTTTAGCAATAATGCTTTACCACCTTGTCCGAGTTATATGATTCTTTTTTTGTTAGTAAGGGGTACCTCAGGGATGGTCCCATATAAATTTGGTTAAGATGTGGTTATGGCATCTGCATGTTTTTGAAGTAGTTTTTTTTTAATTTTTAATTTCTAATACTTGTATACGGAATCTTCGAAGTCAGATGTTTACAATGCAACAGAAGGTTTATATAACATACTACCTACCTTAAGGGACACCATGCAGATCGGACAAGCAGTTAGAAAAGTTTTATGTCAAGTAAAAAACGGGTATCTATCACTTTTTCTGCTTACTTTTTTTGAAAATATAAAAAACGTACCTACATATTTTATTTTAATCCCTTCGTCACAGTACCTTAACACTATTTTTAACGAAAAATCAAACAATGTAAAACTGAATACTAGCTATAAACTGTTTCTTTTACGAAAAATTTAATGTGTTACATCGATTAGTTAACGATCACAAGAGTTGTAAATCATTTTCGTTTACCCCTTCTCCCTTTGACATAAGTAGCACTTTGGTTTATTGTATTCTTCGATCGAAAATGGTACCATTCATTGTTCAATCTGTGATAGTGTTGCGGTCGATCTGTGTGTGATTTAACTTTTACTTTCGTTCTTTCGTTCAGGTATTGGAGGATACGCATAGTTACGAAGAGGTCGATTAAGAAATTTTGGAAAAAGTGAGTGTTAATGACATAATTAATTATTTGGCATTTGGTTACTAATTGAGCGCATTTTAGTCAGAAAATGGATGATTATTTATTTTGTTTTGATTATTTTTTAATTAATCTTCGTCTGAGCTTTCACAATAAGCGTTGAGATAAAAGTATAATAATTTAATTTTGAAAAATAAATATATAATAGTTTCAAAATTGTCGATCCATATTTCTACGAATGATAGAACAGCCAAATAAAAATATAGTTTGCTTAATAAAACCATTGCCTAGAAACGGTTATTAATAAATCTACAAACAATAATTTTAAGAAGTAATAATTAGATGCTAAACATATACAGTATGTCCCCCTAAGTTGGAATCATATGGAAAACTTGTTTATTATTAATTTTAGGAAAAAAGGTGTTCTTCTTAAAAAGTTTTGCATTATCTAAAAACCTAGAATACAGTCATCAAATATCACATATCACATATACGAGGTTTGTCAAAAAATATGAGTTTTACTCAGTAGTAAAATATCTTTATTCTTTATAAGACTGATAAAATTTGATATCTGATGGTTGTATTTTAGGTTTTAGACCATGCTCGACTTTTTATAAACAATAGATTTTTTCCCAATATTAATAATAAAAAATATTTTCATATGCCGCCAATTTACGTAGACTGTTGGTGGCATACAAAAGTTTTTTATTACTAATTTTAGGAAAAAAAGTTGTTCTTTATAAAAAGTCGAGCATAGTCTAAAACCTAAAATACAAACAACAAATATCAAATTTTATCAGTCGTATAAAGAATAAAGGTACTTCTACTTTTGAGTAAAACTCGTATACCACTGAAAAAATTTGATATATTTGACTGTATTCTGGGTTTTTATGAAGAATAATTTTTTTTCCTAAAATTAATAATAAAAAAGTTTTCCATATGATTCCAACTTAGGGGGACATACTGTACATACATAAATTTTAGTTATGTTTAATTCTGAACTTAAATTACTAAAAAAAAAACGGTTGATATTTCAAATGT